CGCAATGTCGCGGCCTGGGTGGGCAGAGCTCCGCATGGCAACTTTTTTAAAATCGTGACAGCGGGTGCAGGAAGACGATGCCTGGCCTGCGGTCACAAAAGCGGCTCAGGGAGTGGGGGAGGCTGCTAATTTAGTAATATGTTACACCCTGAGTATGGGTGTAACATGTAACAATGTTATGAAAAGTGAACTTATCCTTTAAAACCGCTTTAGGTCCGCCCTATAGCAGAAATACTGCTATAGACTCCCTGCACAAAATCACATTATATATATATATATATATATATATATATGTGTGATTTTGCATCTCTGGGTAGTTCTTGGCTGATCCCCGCCAGCACCCAGGGATCGCTGAGTATCACTGACAGGAGAGAGACCTGTATGTAAACAATACAGATCTTTCCCGTCAGCTCCTGCACACTGCATAGCAGAGCCATACAAAGCAGTGTGCTTGCAGTGTAAAGCACACAGTGAAACAGCACACAGTTAACCCTTTGAAAGCCCCTCATGTTAACCCCTTCCTGCCCAGTGCCATTAGTACAGCGTCAGTGCTTTTTATTGGTGCCACTGGGGATGTCAGTGACACCAAGTCAGTTCCCCATCAGTGTCCGAATGCCCGCCGCAGTCCCTATATAAGTTGTTGATCGCTGCCATTACTAGTATTAAAAAAAATATATATATATTCCAGTATCTATACCGCCATTTGTAGATGCTATAGCTTTAACGTAAACCAATTAATTTACACGTACTGGGATTTTTATTTTTTAGCAGACATGTTGCAGAGTACATTTTGGCCTAAATGTATGCCAAAATTAGATTTTTAAATTTTTTTTCACTGGACTTGTTTAATAGCAAAAAGTCAAAAATATTGTTTATTTCTCAGAATTATCGGTCTTTTCTTGTTTATAGCGCAACAAGTAAGAAACGCAAAGGTGATCAAATACCACCAAAAGAAAGCTCTATTTGTGGGTAAAAAGGATTTAAATTTCATTTGGGTTGCATGACTGCACAAGTCTCAGTTAAAATAACGCAGCGCCATATTGCAAAAAATGGCCTGGTCAGGAAAGGGGGTAAATCCTCTTGAGGGCAAGTGGTTAAAAACAGGACCCAGAGAAGCAAATCCAGAACCACCAGCAGATGGCAGTAAAACAAGGTATAGTACAGGAGAATAGAAAGCTTGGTTTGACTACTAGTGTATATTCAGAGGGCTGTGTTTGAAAAGATGTGCATTTTAAATGTTTTTTGGTAATTATGAGTATTTACATGCATTTGTATTGCACTAAATTTTTAGGCTGGAGTAGCACTATTCAGTGTGAATTGTCCCATGTGCATTAAAAAATCCTAAATGATGGGCACCCTGCAGGTTTCGGTCAAAATGTTCTATTATGCACCACATACTAGTATATTATGACAGACTTACCTGTACACTGAGCCCTCCAGCACCACGTTATCACGACTCTCCAGCGCTGCCATCTTCATCTGGTCTTCCTTCTGGGTTCATGGATTCCGGCCATATAAATGGCCGGAGCCATGATGACGTCACTTCAGTGCATGTGCATGGAAGCCCTCAGAGCTCTGAAGGAATGGCACACTGTGCGAATATCTCCTAAAACACTGCACATTTAGGAGATATTCACTATACCTATAGGTAATCCTTAATGTAGTCCCCCTACCCCAAAGAACTCCTCCCATATTGAGGGCATGTGGCCTGGTATGGTTCAGGGGGGCAATTGCTCATCCCCCATCTCCCTTTGCTGACTTGCTGGGATGCATGGTCAGGTTAGGGTCTTATATGGATTTGGGGGGGACTGCGCTCAGTTTTTTAAAAAAAATTTGCCATTTTTTTACTTTTCATTGCCGGAAATTCTTTTTTTACTTTCAGCTGTCAGTGGGGAAACCACTGACAGCTGATGAGTTAGTGGGCTGGGAATGGTGACCAAGGCAACGCTTAAGTATGACAGAGCCTGGGGAATGAGTCAGTGTTGGGTGGAAGATGGAGTGAAAGGCTGGAGTGTGAAGCCTGGGAGATGGCCCAGGGAAGGAGCCTACCTACAGGCAGGTCCTGGAAAAGGGAATCTCCACTGCACCACTCTCTTCTAAGAGGGACACCCTGAGCAGGAGGGAAGGAGCAAGCCCAGCAGAAGGTCTGAAGGCAGCCACCAACCCAACAAGCTAACAGGAAGGACAGTGTGAGTACTCTTACAACCCATGGGCCGGATAAGGGGAGAGGGCAGTCAGGTGGAAAACCCAACTAGCTTCTCATTTGGGAATGTTCTATATTGGCAGCTTCTGGGTCCCCTTGCCCAGGTAATACCCTCAGTACAGCTGGGTGAAGAGGAGGATTCATCTGGGGTCTGAGGAGGTACACTAGAGGGCGTTGGATGCTCTTTTTGTCCACATCTTTGTACATAGTTGCTCTGAGTTGTCCTCAAGTTTCTACAATTCCTTGGGCATCCCATACACCCCGCAACCAAATCCAAGTTCAAAAACCCCTTAATAAAATCACAAAACCAAGTTTAAGGACTGGTTTCTGACTCCAGTAAGCAAATTTTGGAAGAAAATGCATTATTTCCTGGTAGTGCAGGGCTTTAGGGGGACCCAAAACTCAGTGACTCCTAAGGGGGTAGTGCATTCTTTCCCCTAACCACCAATATAGAGAGCATTCTTCCCACTGATCACCAACGTAAGGAGCATGCTTTCCACTGACCACCAATGTAAGGAGCATGCTTTCCACTGACCACCAATGTAAGGAGCATTATTTCCACTAATCACCAATGTCATGTTTCACATGACTATTATATTGACTGTCATAGGCCTTTAAGTGTTTCTATATTTTGTTTCTGCTCCTCCCTTTCCTTTGGTTTAGTTAATGCAGTATAGATAGCCCTCCCCCTTTCCCAGAAATGCATTGCACCTCTAGCCTCATGTCATGGAGCAGGAAACATTATGATCTTTTGATCTATCGAATGTTCATTGTTGTAAGATTATCTCAGTTTATGAAATAAACTTCACAAGATCTGCAAGATGTCTTATCGAATGAGTCACTGACTGTGGTATCCAGCTGAGGTTGAAGTTATCGCTATCTCATCACAACTGTAAGTTACAGAGATCACACTATCAATGCTTAGATTGGAGAGACAGAACAACCAATGACCAATGTAAGGATCATTCTTCCCACTGACCACCAATGTAAGGAGCATTCTTCCCTCTGATCACTAATGTAAGGAGCATTCTTCCCTCTGATCACCAATGTAAGGAGCATTCTTCCCGCTGACCACCAATGCAAGGAGCATTCTTCCCGCTGACCACCAATGTAAGGGGAATTCTTCCCACTGATCTCCAATGTAAGGAGCATTCTTCCCACTGACCATCAATGTAAGGGGCATTCTTTTCATTGATCATCATGCTAAATTCCATGAACCTTAGATATAGTAATTATGAGCAAGGTTTTTTTGAAATCAGTAAATTATTTTAAAGGTTCCTCCATGTTAAAAAGGTTGAGAAAGGCTGAGTTAGCCTTTTAAATTGACTTAAGTACACTATAAGAGTGTCCTTATCTTCTTAGGTTTTACAAGGTCATTGTCAAAATCATTGACATGAAAGACGTTGTTATGATATTGCCCAAGGCAGTGAAAATAGCAGTGATGGTGTGCTTAGTCCAGAAAGCAAGAGCAATGAAAAACGATTGGTTGCTGCACTCTGCAGATTGCCCTGTACAGTATCTTATTATACAGGCTTGTTTAGATGAAACTTCATTAAAGGGAAATGGTAGAAAGTGTTCCCATCTAGGATTAAATATTGATCAAGATGTTAAAGTCGAGGATAACACATCAATGTGCTGTGGAAAACCGTAAAATTGTATCTAATGAACTCCACATTCAATTTCATACATCAGCTGGTGTCAGGTACCCATTGTGTCTCTTACAATCAACGCCAGGGCTGCCAGATTTACTCGCTGATTACTGATATGCCTTCACCAGCCTTTTCAACCTTTGTACCCCAGAGGAACCCTTGAATTAATCTCCAAGTCTTAGGAAAATTATATCTACAGCTGACAGTATGTTATCAATGTCAGCAAGTTATAAATCTAAAAATAAAAAAAAAAGAATATCAAATACGGCAAACCTAGGGGTCAGTATGTAAGACATTTGCTGTGCAAAATCAATCACACAGGCCTCACAAATTGTTCTGGTATTTTGCTTCAATTATTTATTCCCTAGGATTGTCAAGTCCATCTAGTGACAACTATGCGGTATATTTCCTGACTTCGGTATTTCAGGAAAAAAATACTAGATTTGTCTGTAGATGGCGCTGACTATCCTAGGAAATAAATGTAATAGACTACATTCAGGTGGTCAAATATGTGCAGCTAGTTTGCTGCACTCAGAGGCAGCTAAACCCTATCCCTGGATGAAGGAACACTCTGTGATATTTCTGCATACAAACTGGCCAATTACCTGCATATAGTTTGGTAAATATTTGAGTACTGGCTTTCACATTTGCACTGTGTGCAAAGCAATGGCAGGCGCCACTTCTGTTCACTCATCCGAGTGGTTACATGCGAATGCTGACCTTGGATGTAGCCAGTGTGTCACCCCTGGCTGCATATATTTGACCTTATGGAAATTAAAATGTTACTAAACCCACAGCAGTAAAATCAGTCTGTATATGCAGTAAAGCATGCTTGTTATACACACTGTGGAACCTAATGGGTTAATCCTCTGCATTGTTTAAAAATGCTGTTTGATCCTGTCTTCTCTGATCCCCCCCTTCTTCCAGTGCCCCCCTCTTATCTTCTGATAAGATATATCATGTGAAGACACTCTACACATGCTCAGTATGGTGTGTATTGCTAGAAAGGTTTTTTCTTGGGAGAGTGCATGTGATCAGCACAGGGCCAATCAGCGCTGTCCAGACAGAGGTCAGGGGTTCTGCATCCTCCGAGAGAAAACTCCTTCTACAAGCTTTAACCAGTGCTCAGCTGGACACTGATAGAAGTCACAAGACTGCTCTAACTTCTGATGAGAAAAGGTATTTAGCAGTTTATATTTACTAACATAATTGCATTTCCATGTTCTGTGTACTGTAGGAGACCAGATATAGTGAATGCAGGGTCCGGGGAGACCAGATACAGTGAATGCAGGGTCCGGGGAGACCAGATACAGTGAATGCAGGGTCCGGGGAGACCAGTAATAGTGAATGTGGGGTCCGGAGAGGACAGATATAGTGAATGCAGGGTCCGGGGAGACCAGATATAGTGAATGCGGGGTCCGAGAAGACCAGATACAGTGAATGCGGGGTCCGGGAAGACCAGATACAGTGAATGCGGGGTCCGGGGAGACCGGTAGTAGTGAATGTGGGGTCCGGGGAGAACAGATATAGTGAATGCAGGGTCCGGGGAGACCAGATATAGTGAATGCAGGGTCCGGTCTGGGGAGACCAGACATAGTGAATGCAGGGTCCGGTCTGGGGAGACCAGATATAGTGAATGCAGGGTCCGGGGAGACTGGTAGTAGTGAATGTGGGGTCCGGGGAGACTGGTAGTAGTAAATGTGGGGTCCGGGGAGAACAGATATGGTGAATGCAGGGTCCGGGGGAGACCGGTAATAGTGAATGCAGGGTCCGGGGAGACCGGTAGTAGTGAATGTGGGGTCCAAGGTTTAGTAACACTTTAAGATGAAGATTTATGGCACCTGTGTGAATGACTGATTTATTCTCATAGCGAATGTGTTGCATACAGACCTACAATATTTGACACTAACGGTACTCTAGGCATTGTTTATGCTCAAACACCGAAATGCTTTTATTAGAAAAAAAAATCAAATTATAATTTAAACAAATTATAACATAATTATTCAAATTATCACAAAGTAGTAATCACAAAATTAAAATGAAAGAAATAATATTGGTTGCCAGAAATGAAACACATAAGCAGTGCTAGACCAAAATTGGATAAAAGAATGCAATATAATTTTAATTAATAAAAAAGTTATATAAAAGCAACGTGTTTCAGGGGCAGCACCAACACCTTTTTGTTGTTTTTATATATGACTTTTTTTATCAACATTTAAAATAATCCTGGACTCATTAAATTTTGGTCTGGTGGTCCTTTTTGTATTTCTATGGTTTGAGCTACTATTCAGTGCCCACTGAGGGAACCCTTGCTGTGTGGAAGTTGCCTCACCAAAGCTTTTGAGCTTCTTTGACATTTTCCTTCATCTGGCTACACATGCAAGTCTAAAAGTTCCCAGTGCCTCTAAGTATGTCGTTTTGAAGAAATGAAACACAGACAGATCCCTGTGTCGGTGGAGAAATGCCTTCTTACATTGGTGGTCAATGTGAAGAATACCACATTTACAAGCAACTAAAAAGATCTTTGGATCATGCCAATTTTTCTGTAAAGGGATGTTGGCCCGGTAATATGGGAGGCCATTCTGCCACAGAATTCCTGGAAGCCTCTAGAGCAGGGTTTCTCAATCAGTGTTTCATGAAACCTTACAGTTCCTCCAGAGGTTGCTAGGGGTTCCATGTGCAATTAGCAATTTCTGTCTCTCAGATAAAAAAAGATCAACGGTGTCAGTGGGAACTTATCTGTCTGTAAGTGGGAAATTCTTCCCAATCACCATATGTTTAAGGACCATTCTTCCCACTGACCATCACACCAATGTATCATGAGATATAAATATAATAATATTTAGCAGGGTTCCCTAAGAACGTAAAGTTATTTCAAGGGTTCCTCTGACTTGCAAAGGTTGATAGACTGATCTAGAAGAACCCTAGTGTTTCATGGAACCTTACAGTTCCTTCAAAGGTTGCTAGGGGTTCCTTGCTCAATGAGCAATTTCTGCCTCTCAGATAAGTTCCCACTGACACCATTGATCTTTTTATCTGTCTGTAAGTGGGAAATTCTTCCCAATCACCATATGTGTAAGGACAATTCTTCTCACTGACCATCACACCAATGTATCATGAGTTATAGATATAGTAATATTTAGCAGGGTTCCCTAAGAACGTAAAGTTATTTCAAGGGTCCCTCTGACTTACAAAGGTTGAGAAAGACTGATCTAGAGGAACCCTGGTTGAAAATGGCTGGTCTATCATATACGGCTAGTTGAACTGAGACTGTGACTTTACCTGGAATTAATCAGAGCCAGTGCAGAGGCTTCTTGACTGGAAATCCCAGCATCTGTTTCTTATCGGACATTTCCTCAGAATGAGATTTATTAAGAATTAATCTTTTCCTGTCATGTAAGTGTGGGGGAGGACAATCAATTCCAGAAAGTAATGTGTAGTTGGTCATCCTCCTTAACACTTGCTTAGAGGCATACCTTACATAAGGAGCAGATTACTGTATTTTCAGAGAATGCAGATTTTGGTGGGATAAACATATCAATCCAACCACTCCACTATGTGCTGGGCACCCTCCAATGACTATATTTACCTGTAACCCTGCTCTGATCTCTGCCACCAGGACTTCCAGGTATCGAGGAGCACATGACACATTCCATGCCTTCCTTCAATACGAATCTCCGGGCAAATGTAGGTCTCTGTAAAGTGCCTACTAATTGAAGGAGAAATCATGAGTGGTAGATACAAGCGGGTACAGATCTGGTGCACTGACATATGAAGAAGGAGGAGGGCAAAATAATTATTTATTCTGTACCTTGTTCTTACCATGACATCTCTTCTTCCTGTTGCGGTCAGGAACAATGAAGGCATGCTCTACTGCTGCCAGTATTAGGGTGGGTTGGAGTTATGAAAAGGGATTATTTAATAAAAACCCATGCCTTACTAGTCCTTAAGCCTCCCTCCTAGAATGCACAGTAAGTGACTCAGTGGGTAAGCTGAGTGGCCTTTTGTAGTTCCCCTGGTTGGTCACTAGATGTCACTATAGCTTGAGAGTGAGCTTTGGCTTTAGGAGCCATCAGGGTTAAAGGAGAAATAGGGCCAAAGCTCATTTGACCCTACTTCTCTTTTAAGTTACAGGAGTGTGCTCTTTGTTCTGCACTCCTGTGACCCATATTCAGTTGACAGTGAGCTAAAGCCCGCTGATGGCTGACATCACCCCAGATTCTGGAGGGATCCCAACTTTAATGTCGGGACCCACCTAGCTTCTGACCGGCAGGTGTTTCAGCCTCGCAGAGCTAACCACTCCCACCCCCTCCACAGTACAGTGCTCCAGTGAGCGCTGGAGGGGCAGAGCAGAGAGACGGTGACTGAAGACCAAGAACTAAATGATCAATGGTCTTTGATCGCTCAGTTCTTGGTCTTAGAAGTATCTGGGGGCAGATGCAGCATTGCGCGGATGCTGCATCCACTTAGGTATGTAGGTTTATTGTTTTCAAAACAAACACTTATCTTTGAAGTGCCACCCCTGCTCTCAACAGAAGAGGGACATTCTTGGTGACAGTATATTAGGAGGGTGGGGAGCCTATTGGTAGGTAGTTGCCACAAGGAAAGTGATTATCATTTTTGTGGGTGTCACAGGACAGACCTCCATGTAGGAAGGGAGCCTTTATCATTAACTTTCATCTATTGAATGGAGATGGAGTTAGTTGGGGGACTGGTATGTAATGGGACTACTTGTATTCCCGTGGGGGGATGGAAAACTCTGGTACACCCCTCATATAGGTACATATAGGCCTCTCATTTTGTCTCTGCTCCCTTATCTCGGAATTTCATAGTTGCATTACCCTCTCAGTATTCTGCTACTATCTTGCTAAGAACTGTTCAGAACTGAGGCTCTGTGCTCCTTCCTCTAACCCGCATCAGGAAGTCTCCTGCAAATGGCCCTATGCACTAGGGCTTAGTGGGGTCTGTTGAGGGCAAGGCCAGTAGCGAATGGAATAGGGTTCCGCATTCCTGGTCATGCCAGGCTGGGTTGCTCTTCAGATATCCCCTACTAGATGGAACCTTGGGAACCCTAGGAGTCCCAAACTAAGGGACTCCATTGCGCCATGAGGATCATCTGGCCAGGCCTCACCAAGACACAACAGGACAGCCAGATGTTATCTCCCTCTTTACAAGAAGATTGCAGCCTGCCTTCCTCAATATAGAGTGTTTATCCTTAGTGCCCGTTCACACTGGTGAGATTTCAGCTGCGATTTGCAAATTGAAATCGCACCTGCAATTGCATCTAATGAATGTGAATGTCAGTGTCTTAAAATGTGTGATTTGCTGCAGAGCGATTTCTAAAATAGTTCTTGCATTACTTTTTCTGCAGTTTTGCTGTGATTTCACATACATACATAATATAATACATACAGAATATAATGGAAATCACACTGCAAATTGCAAGAAATTGTTGAAAATATTCACAAGTAGCAATAAAGTCTTCAAAAATCGCACCTGAAATTGCGCTGAAATTGCACTTAAATCAATCAGTGACTTAAAGTGTTACTAAACCCACAACAGTAAAATCATTCTGTATATGCAGTAAAGCTTAGATTGTGAGGTCCAAGGAGCAGGACCTTCCTAACCCTCTTGTATTGAACTGCATTGTTGCTCTATTACAAACAAACTAAAAAATCCCAGCGCCAATCAAAGAAAGTATACAATTATGCAGCTGTGCACCAGTGAAAAACCAATAATGAATAACACAAAAAACAGCGCAAAAATTAAATAAATAAAAATAATCACAAATAAATAAATGTCCATGAAAAAAAAAAAAAAAAAATATATATATATATATATATATATATATAATATTTCAAACATAAGTCCTTATTTTCCCAAAAGGATTTTCAAGACAATGTTCCAAAATTATTGAGGATTCCATGGAGAAGTAGAGTGGAGTCGATTGCTGTATCTAAGCAGGGTGAAGAAGGTGATTTGAGTTCCTCTTGAGGGGCTATAGGATCCCTTATATCCTATGAGGCTTATTACTCACCTCCATCTGGTGAGTGCGGTCAATATTATTTTTCACGTGGTGATTAGGTGGAAGCACATTTTGGAACATTGTCTTGAAAATCCTTTTGGGAAAATAAGGACTTATGTTTGAAATATATTATATATATATATATATATATATATATATATATATATATATATATATTTTTTTTTTTTTTTTTTTTTTGCACGGACATTTATTTATTTGTGATTATTTTTATTTATTTGATTTTTGCATTGTTGCTTTATTGTCTCCCTTTATATTGTAAGGCGCTGAGCAAACTGTTGGTGCTATATAAATCCTGTGTAATAATAATATATTAAAGCATTCTTGTTATACTCAGTGTGGGACCTAAGGGGTTAATCCTCTGCATTGTGTAAAAATTGTGGTTGATCCTGTCTTTTCTGATCCTCCCCTTCTTCCAGTTTCCCCCTCTTATCTCCTGATAAGACATGCTGTGTGGAGACACTCTGCACATGCTCAGTTTGATGTGTATTGCTGCAGAGGTTTTTTTTTTTTTTCTCTTGGGAGAGTGCATGTGATCAGAGCAGGGTCAATTAACACTGTCCAGACAGAGGTCAGAGGTTCTGCATCCTCCTAGAGCAAAATGAAAACTCCTCCTCCTACAAGATTAACCAGTGCTCTGCTGAACACTGATAGAAGTCACAAGACTGCTCTAACTGTTAATGAGAAAAGGTATATAGCAATTTATATTTACTAAAATAATGGCATTTCCATGATCTGTGTATTGTGGGAGACCAGATATAGT